ACTCCCAGCATTTTGTCAACTATTTGCCGTTAAGAGATGCAAACCCCGCTGTAACCAACGGTCTTAGAGGAGCCGGTATCAGGGGTCCAGGAATCAGTATGACCTGGCAGGCAGTGTGACGAGACCCGAAAGTGGGCACATGGGTGCAGGGTGGCGGTGGAGGCAGCAGTATTCACGGAAGACATACAAACAGGACAGAGTTAAAAAGCGGAATGCCGTCAGCAGCGAAAAAAGCAGACGACAAAGAGTAACATCATGGCGCAGTCGGTGCCGCGGTGGAATGCAGGCAGTATTCGGAAGCCATACACAGGCCTAGGTTAAAAAGCGGAAGCCGTCAGGCACGAGAGCAGAACGACAGAAGGCACATGGCGCAGGTGGGCCGGTGGAGGCCAGCAGTATTTTTCGGGAAGCCAAACACGGCCTAGGTTTTTAAAACAGGAACCCAGCAGCGTGATGCAGACGACAAAGATGCACAATGGCAAGGGATGGACTGGCAGCAGTATGAGAAGGGCGTACATGGGCCCGTGGCACAGTGTTGTGATGGGGGCTACAGCAACTGGAATGCCAGAAAGTTGGCCGATATCAGGGCTATATACTGCATGGAATTATAAAGTTGTAAAACGACAGCGGCCTATAAGGTCTATACACCCCAGCAAAAATCATGACTTGAATTGACCATTTGGCCGTTATAAGGCTACTACACAACATGAATATCATGACTTAATCCTGAGAAGTGGATTTGAAGGCCTACCAGTACAAAAAGTAATTACATGAGCGGTCCGGACAGCGGACAACTAAATACATATATACAAATCAATGCATCAGCTGTCCAGCCAGCGGCCTCAAAGGCGACACACTATAGAAAGCAATTCATGAGCTGTCGTTCAGACAGCGGCCTCTAAGGCGACAGATAGACAAAGCAATTTCCCCGATGGTGTTCAGGGAGCGGCCCTGAACGCTAGGTTAATACTAAAATATATTTTTTGTGGCCAAACATAGAACCCTATAAATAGATGTCGACACAGTGACAAAAAATTATGTCGTCAGACTGCGGCCCCCTAAGGCTACAGATATACAAACAATTCCCGAGGTGTTTCCAGTGAGCGGCACCAATGGCTAGGTTATTACTCAAATATATCTTTCTGGCCAAACATCGGCCTATAAAGAGATGTCTTACACAGGTGGACAAAAAAGTGGGGTCGCCCTACAGCAGCGTTATCCTACCAAAATAACATTATAAGAAATGGTTTAGCACAAAAAAAAAAAAAAACTTTGAATGGCATGCTTATAGCCTTTAGTAGATTGTGGGAAAGTTGGCCCGACAAGTCAACCGTAACTGTGTACATTTCATGAAAATCTTAATAAACAAGACAACCGAAACATGTGGCCAAACCATGACCGGAAACAACCAAGGGTAACAATGTAAGCAAACATGAGGTGGCCAAAACCGTGGCCAATAACAAACAGACCCCTCGTTGAAGAGATGGAACAACACGTGTCAAATAAATATTTAAAAAAATTGCTATTCCATCGTTCTGGATCTGGTCGACTATAAATAATTAAAAAGCCCTTGAAATTGCCATTTGTACAGGTCGTCCAGCCGAACGTATATAAATAATTTAAAAAACAACCAATTCATGACCCCCCATGGGCCCGAACCCAGCAGAGTATAAGTCATTAAAAAAGTTCAATTCAAGTGACGGTCGTCCCCAGTCAAGGTATACAATAAATTTAAAAACCCCACCCCATTCATGAGGGGCCCGACCTCAGGAGTAATAACGTCATTAAAAATGTGCAAAAACATGATTCGGCCCCCCACAGCCTCTCAATAAAATATATATACAAATTGTAACGGATCAGTTGTAGGTCTTCCATTTGTCCCTACTAACATGTTTGGGGCATGATTCATGGGCGGATTTTAGTCAGTTGTGTTCAGGAACTGGTGGTTTGAAAATCCAGACCTAATCCCGCCTGATACACCTTTTCACCAACGTGAGTCCTCTCCACCCCTTTGGGGTGGACAGTCCGTGTCCCCCACCCCCTCCCCATACCTCCTGCCCCCCTAAACACCGCGCACCCCGATCCCCCTATACACTGGCCCCTCCCCCCATGACTAGCCAGTCAAGGGCAAAATCCGCTAGTTCCCCCCCCCCCTCCCTCCCCTCCCCCCCGATGCCCCCTAGTCCCCCCCCCCCCCACTGCCTCGGTTGGCAGGGTGCTGTCCAAGTAGGCCCAAGCCTGTTGTTTGAGCTCCTGCTCCAGGTCCACCTGATGCTGCTGCTGCTGCTGCGGCTGGTTAGTTGTTTCCTCACTTTTGCGCTGAGTGAAGAAAGCTACTCCATCAATCGACCTGCAGACTGGAGCAAGCCACTGCTGCGTGGAGGCTGCCACTTGCTTCCTAACCACCCACCCCTCCCCTGCTGGGCCATGCCAGCGTAACGAATGATGCGCACAGGGCCCTCAGTGTCTGAGGATGGAACGTTTGCGCGACAAGGCTCAGAGACTACTGAACTTACATAGGTGGTTTTTATAGTACTTAATGTTGGCCTCGCTCCACAGGTTGAAAAAAGGCCACCATTTTTGAACGGTAGCGAGGGTCCAACAAGGTGGACAGCCCAAAATTCATCCCTCTGGTCCTGATGGTTATTAATTCGTCCTGTCGCTAACCTACAACCGAGCATGCTATGGCCATTTGTGCCAAGGATTCGAGGGACTTATTCCCTGCCTTCCATCACTCACACAGCATACTGCCACGGTGGCGTCTGGTTCATCGTTCTCCTCCTCCTGCCTCCCTAACCAGATGCTCCTGCTTTCCTCCACTCTCTGTCCGCTGAGTGGAATAAACCACCCATTCTCGACCTCAATAATTCCTGAGCACCCAAAGGCCTCCATCTACCTCCTCCTCTTCTTCCTGTCCTGCCCCCACAGGGGTCATGTGGCGTTGAGATCTGTGCCCACGTCGTACCGCACCCACCACCATTGTTTAACTCAGTGTTCAAACGCAACAAGAATTGACCTTCACCCCATATCCTCCACTCAGCGAATAGCTACCTTCCTCAAAGGGCCCTGAGCAAGCGGCAGGTGTCACGCATGAGCTCCAATGCGCTGACAACACAAGTTAACACAGGGAGTACCTTTTAATCCGCTAGTAACTTCAAGAAATCCGATGATGGCTTTGTTCGCTGCTCGTACAGGCGGTCCTTACATTTGTAGGGTTGAATTCCACCTGTCTGCTACCTTCGCAGATCAGCGTTTTGCAGTGGATTCCCGTTCTGGCCGCTGCAGCTCATTGAGGTGTTCTTTGGCGCTGTTGAAGAAGCTGAAATGCATGCCCATTTGACGTGACAGTTTAAGGATGTCTTGCAGTGGATGGTGGATTTTAGGATCCGCTTGAACAACCAGATTGAACAACGTGAGCCATGCATGGCGCCTCATGGCACAACCTTCCTTGACGAAGAGCAGACACCATGTTCTTTCCGTTGTCGGTCAACATGGTTTTTGCCGATTTTTCCGTTTGCCGGAAACTGCCAACTGTCGCTTTCTCCTGTTTCAATTACACTCAGCAGTTCCTCCCCGTTTGACTACGTTCGCCAAGGCATACCAGGTGCACAGCACTGCGTGACTCCACTCGTTGCGCCTCTGCACATGTGAATGCCGGTCAGGTAATGACGAACTTTGGCACGGGGGTGCCGGCTAGGACATGGCGGAAGAATAGGTGGTAGAGGCGAACTCATGCGTGCTGGACTCGACGACGTGCAAACGGTGGAGGCTAAAGCGGGGCCCCGGTTTTGGGGGAACCTGTCCAAGTTGCTGGGTTCGGCAGTTCCGGCACCACGTTCCTTCAACCCAGTGGCCGAGTTAAAGGTCAATGTACTGTCCCATGACCGTAAGTTACAACGCTCCACACTCGTCGGCCGCTGCCGTGCACTTTAGGCAAACCAGACACGACATGCTCCAAAAGACTGGCCCACGCCTCATCATCTACATGTTATTGTGCAGGGCAGGCACTCGCCTTTCTTTTTGGCGAAGACATGACGGCGTGCAGCACGTCCCACCCGCGGCATACGCCACAAGCCATCATTTCTCGGACAGGTGCTAGAGTACCACACCAGTTGGAAAGGGGAGGGACTGCGGCTCCAGCAAACTTGGACAGGAGGACGTTCTAGCTTCTGCACCCGTCTGGTGCGTGCTCGCAAACTGTTTGGACCTCTTTGATAACTGGATTCCAAAAATAACTGCTTACGGAATCCGTGAAAGGATCGCAGAAAGGAAGGAGCAACTGAACGAGCGGAATATGCCTAAATCGGAGCGACAACTCCCCTCAGCAAAGTGTTGGAGCCCTTTTGACTGGCTGATTAGAGGGCGAATTACACTCGGGTGAACGGAGCAAGTAACGGAGCGTGTGATTGAGCGGGGGCGGGGCAGGCAGAACCGCCGTAAGTTACTTTAATCAGCGGATTTCCCAAGGCCACCGAATGGTATCGCTGCATATGCTGAACCAACGCTGTAAGTCCCAACATTGGCCCCCTGGCCACCACTTGCACTTTCTGGGCCACATAGTCAACATAACCGACTTAACGTTTACCATCCTCGGACGGCATATTGAACTTGAGGAAATATTGCCACAACACCACCGCCGAGTAGGAAAACTTGGCCCCCCTACTCCTCACTGGCTGACAGCTATTTCTTTCCTCCGTGCGCACACGCACCACTCAACTGGCCGTGTGGATAGGCCTGCATTGAGCTTGTTCTACGACTCCCGTAGGACGTTTGGCTCCCACTGACACTGATGGCGACCCCTCCTGCCCTCCTGGGCAATCCACCGACTCGTGTTTGCTCGCTGGCAAAACTTGGCACCTCTCTCTCCTTTCTCCTGATGATTGCGGAAAAAATTAGCCTGATACGACGAGCCTGCCAAGTGCCGATCAGCCTCATCCCATCATCATTAAGGGTCTCCAACGTCTCACTGCTGAGTCCCCCTCGGCTTGCGTCTGGGTCAAGGATAGGGAACAGACCTTGTCTCTAGACCGCTAACCGACCACTCCTCCCTCACCAGTACTTGTTCTCCATGCTGCTGAAGAGGGCCGATGACCTCCTTCTCCCCGTTTTTTTTCCTGACCGCCCCTCTGTTCCTCTTCCTCAACGGTACAGTGTGGCTGAGCCCCACAGCTGCGATACTTCGCTTGGTGAGGGAAATCACCAAAGGACAGGGGGCAGGTCGGAGGACACGTGATTTCAGTGGGCTTGCTCCCGGGCCTGCCAACTAACGGTTAGGTCTGACGTACCCACCGACCGTTGGCTGTATGTCAGAGGTGACCTGGGAAGAAAAAGACCGACCGAGTCACCAAACGATGACGGCAGGGTTGTCGGGGAGACACGACCGCTGGATGACACCGGAGCACTGGCCCTGGCTGCGACTAGTGGGGTGCCTCGACCCCTTCCCCTTTCTGCCAGTCTGCTCGCTCCTGAAACATTGCCTCCTCTGCCCCTCCCGCGTGTTGTCTGACATACTCTTTTAAATTTAAAAGCACCCCCCAAAAAAAAAACCGGTTTTTAAATCTTTTAAAAAATAGTGGGTTTTGGGAAGCAGAAAGTCAGTTTATTTACACAATCGGCAATTTTCGCTTGCCCTTGGCTAAACTGTACGTTTTGGGCACTGAATGCACTAATCCCCAAAAAAAATACCGCCAGCCGGGGGTAAATGGATTTAACTCTTTTAACGTACAAAAATGGTTGTGAAGCAAAATCATTTTTTTACACAATCGTCAAATTTCGCTTTCCCTTGGCTGAAACGTACGTTTTTGGTCACTGGAATCACTAAACACCCAAAAAAAATTTTCCGCCACCGGCGTGTAAATGGATTTAACTCTTTGAAATGTACATTAGTGGTTTGTTGAAGCAAAAGTCAGTTTTATATTGTAACAACAATCGTGTCAATTTGCAAGCTTGTATTTTGGCTGGAAAAGCTGTAACTTTAAGTCACTGGAAATTGCACTAACTAATCACGACCAACAAAATATTATAAAAAAACCCAAGCCAGCCACGTGTAAATGCCATTTAAACTCCCCCCACAGGGGGAGGGGGGGGGGGGAATCAGGGGGGGGGTGGGGGGGGGGGGCAACAATGGGGGGGGGGCATCAATGTTATGCTTGGGGGGGGGGGGGCTGGAAACTGTAAATGTGTCATTATGTTACTGTATATGGGATTGAATTACCCAATTAATTTACCGATATGGGGTCAGTCGTAAATGTGATTTAACTCATTGAACGAACTATAGTGGTTGTGAAGCAGAAAGTCATTTATTGTCACACAATCGTCAATAGCAGCTTGCCGTTGGCTGGACAACTGTACGTTTGTAACATCTCAACTGGATAGTGTCACTAATCAACACCAAACAATACATTTAACAAACACTATTCCTCGGCCTGTAAATGGATCAACACGCCTGGTGAAACGGTACAAGTAGTTCTTGTTAAGTGATATCAGTTTATTTACACATTACGGGTCGTCCAATTGCAAGCTTGCGGGTGCCGTTGGCTGGAGGGGTTAGTTCGCTTATGGGGGTACCTGGAAAGAAGGAATTTGAATGCTAGCCCATTGAGGGATTAGAGGAGGAATTAGGATTGCCTACCCCGGCGTGGTAAGTGGGGGGTCTAATTGTTTGAATGTACAATAGTACGGATTGTGAAGCTATAAAGTCAGTTTAATATGTACACAATCGGTCAATTGCAGCTTGGGGGGCCCGTTGGGGGGGGGGTGGGGGGGTTCTGGCTCTGGAATGGCAAACTGGAGGTCCGGCCAAAACATATGTACCCGGGGGGCGGCGTGTAAATGGGGGTACTCTTTGAAACGTACAATAGTGGTTAGGAAGCGCCCCCAGAAAGTTAGTTTCGAATTTAGCACCAATCGGGGAGATTTTAAGATGTGCCCGTTGGCTGGAAACTGGACTTTATGTCACAGGATTTCACTAATCAAACCAAAAATATAACCGCCACACTTTTGCGACGTTTCAATGGATCTAGACTCTTTGAATCGTACACATAGTGGTTGTGGAAGCAGAAAGGCAGTACTTATATATCACATAACGGTGAACACTCACGAACTTGCCGGTGGCTGGAAACTGTACGTTTTATTGTTACTGGGGTGCATTAGTCAGCCAAAAAATGATACCCGCCACATGTCTGCGTGATACATGTATCTTAGAAGGTCTTTAGGGAAACGTACAATGAATGGTTGTGAAGCATTTAGGATTTTGATTTGATATTAGCACAATTGGTCAATTGGCAGCTTTGCCGATGGCTGCGATAACTGTACGTTTATAGTTCACTAGGAACTTTTCACGTAATACACCAAAAAATTTTACCCAGCCACCCGGCGGTAAAGGACTCTTCCACTTTGAACTTTTCAAATCCCATATTGTGCTATCATCCAAGTCAGATTATTGTAACACAATCAGTCACAAAACCCAACCATACCATCTGGCATGGAACTACTTGTACTTTCCTGTCACATCGTCGGAGATTGTGATGCAGTTATCATCCAAAAATATTACCTGTCCACCGCGTGGTCAACATGGATTTATCTCTTGAACGTAACAATGGTGGTTGTGCTAGCGGGAATTTCACTTGCATTACCTGCACAATCGAAGCAATTCCAGCCTTGTTCCGTTGCTGGCACAATAAGAAACACTGACCACACTCCCCCTTGGAAAGCTTAAAGGAGAAGCCACGGGGGGGGGGAAGCCAACCGTATGGCAACAGTGTGTCCAGGCATAGGCGTGCTTATCTAGTTATGTCCTGGCAATTTATGCAAATAACTCACTCCAAAAATATAATACTCAGATTGCAGGGGCGGACAGTGTAAATGGAGGGTCAATAAATACCTTTGAACGGGCCATAGTGGTAATGTGAAGCAGAAAGTCCCAGTTCTGGGACTGTACACAAAGGCTCCTTTGCTTTCTTTCCCCTTTCCTGGCTGAAACTGTACGATTCTTTCTACTAAAACGGAACTAGGACGTTCCTTCCTCAAAAAATTTTTCCAGTTCCTTATTCCTTTCGGCGTCCTTTCATGGATCTTTTTTCTTCTTTACGTACAAATAGTGTTGTGAAGCTTATCGGTCCAAAGCTTAGTATTATCGTATAATAAACGGTCAATTGTCATTTTCTTTTCGTGCTCTTATGGCTCTAATACTAGTAACTTTATTTCACTGGAATGCTTCTTGTCACCCGTGCATTTATCTTCCTCCCACCCTCCTGTAAATGGATTCCCCTAACTCTTGAACCTATCAATAGTCCCTCGTGCTTCAGAATTCCAGGCTTCTTCTTTTCTTCCATCCTACAATAACATAATATAACTATGGCTGGAAACATGTACGTTCTGGAACTTTCATATTCCTCCCTCCTCCTCTCTGTTTCCTTACTGCTATTATATCCGGGTGACCTTTCTTACTTCCTCGTTCTTCCTCCTCTTTTCCCCTCTCCCATTTCTCTTCTCCCCCCTTCTCTCTCTCTTTCCCTTTCTTCTTTTCTTCTTTTCCTTTTCTTTTTTTCCTTCTTCCCTCTATTACGAAAACGGGGGCCATAAACTAATGACTTAACTCTCTTGAACGTACAATAGTGGCTGTGAAGCACAAAGTCAGTTTAATGTAGCAACAATATAGTTGTATATAAAAACTTGCCGATGGCTGGAAATACACTTGTACGTTCAATGTCACTGGAATGCAGTAGGTCCACCCAAATCAAAGAGTTACCTCGATAACTCCCGCTTTTTAAATGGATTAACACGATAACACAAACCAGCCCCCCCATACGCACTCCCCCTTGGTGGGAGGTTGTGGGGGGGGGGGGGGTGACGCCGGGGGGGCGTTGGGGGGGTTGGGAAATGGGGAGTGCTGTAGACGCGTTTGGAACGTACAAGTAGAATGGGTGTGAAGCGAGAAAGTCAGGTGTTGATGTGTATCGACAGATCGGGGGGGGGTGGGTCCGGGAAGGTTGCAAGCTGTGGCCGTTGTGCGTGGGCAGGGAGGCGTGTCGGGGACGTTTATGTCACAGGAATGCTCCTATATCACCCAAAAGAAATAATTAACGGATCCCGGGGCGTGTAAATGGGATCTAACTCTTTGAACGGTACAATAGTGGTTGTGAACAGAAAGTCAGTTTATTTACACAATCGGGCAATTGCAGCTTTCCTTTTGGGTGGAAACTGTACTTTGTCCTAAAGCACTAATCACCAAAAAATATTTCCGCCACCGCGTGTAAATGGGTTTAACTCTTTGAACGTACAATATGGTTTTTGAAGCAGAAAGCGTTTTTTTTAGACAATCGGTCAATTTCAGCTTGCCGGGGCGGAAACTGACGTTTTTGTCCCCTGGAATGCACAAAACACCCAAAAAATATTTCCGCCACCCGGGGTGTAAAATGGATTAACCTTTGAACGTACAAAAGTGGTTGTGAAGCAGAAAGTCAGTTTTTTTTCACAATCGGCAATGCAGCCCTGGCGGAAATGTACGTTTATTCACTGGGAAGCCTAAACACCCAAAAAAATATTCCCCCCCCCCGGCGTGTAAATGGCCCCAATCTTTTAATACAAAGTGTTTTTGAACAAAAAATCAGTTTTTTTGTACACAATCGTCAATTGCAAGCATCCTTCGGAAGCTTATTCATGGTGCCTTCCCCCAAAAAATTTCCGCCCCCCCCCGTGAAAAAAAGGATTAAACTTTTAAGCAATTGGTTGTGAAAAAAATTTTTCAAACGGCAATTCACTTGCCGTTCGAAAGTCGTTTCTGTAAGGAATGCACTAATCACCAAAAAAAATATTACCGCCACCGGGTGTAATGGATTTTAACCTTTTAACGAAAAATGGGGGGTGAAGCAGAAAGTCAGTTTTTTACACAATCGGTCTGGCCTTGCCGTTTGAAAGC